ATAATAGGGGGAACTCTGATCCCTATTAGGGAACTGTTAGGAACATCCCAGAGTCGGGGGGATCTCATGTCATCCTCTCATCTCAGGTGTGGAGCGTCCGCGTGGCCGAGGGGCAGAACATCATCCCCGCCGTCACACCGGTGGGCTGCCCCCCAGCCACTTGTCCCCAGAAAAGAGGCCCGGAGGCCCAGGCCCCCTTGAGGGGTTTAGGGTTTAGGGTTTAGGGTTTAGGGGGCTGGTTCGTAGCAGGGAATGAGGGAATGAGGTACTCACACACCCTCCTATAAAGCCCAAAATCAAAACCATCTCACGGAAATTGAGCTTCAGTCCACCCTATTCGTAGCAACCAGAGAGCCTAGCATCCTCTAAGCAAGGAGGCCCGAAGTCTTAAACCCTAAAAAAAGCAATACCACTTAAACCCTAAAACCAAACCCTAGCCCTAAACCCTAGCCCTAAACCCGAAACCCTGTATTCCTTGGTGAAGGGGCGTCTGTTTTTTCAGGCCCTGTCTAAGTACATCAGAATCATCATAAACCACCACGCCCCCCCCCCCTCAAAACAGACAACAACACCACTTCAAGAGGCCTCTTTGGGAGTTTCCCCCGTATACTAGCGGGCCCTAACATTAAAAATAGGGATCATGATAGGGGGTTACCGTAATCCTTATTAAGGACTGCTCGTATACGGGGGAAGTATCTCAAAGGCCTCTTGCTTTTGAGCTGTAGCTTCAGGGTTTAGGGTTTAGGGTTTGGGGTTTGGGGTTTAGGGTTTAGGGTTGAGAGAGCAAGCATAGAAGTCATCCTAGGTTCCTGGAGGAACGTAGAAGACTCAAGAAAAGGCTGGCCTTTCGTCCAATCCAAACCTGCCACAACACCCCAAACCTACACCAAAATGACCTGAAACCGTACACAAACAATATCTCAACAACCCACATTCTACGGTAAAATATCCCTAAACCCTGTACCCAGCTCAGGAAGAATTCCTGGTCGAGTCTGCTCGCGAGCTGGCGACCTCGGGCGCATTTGCCTTCGACCCGGTTCGGCGAGTGACCTTCCGACGTCGCGACTGGCCGTGATGGCAAAAAGCCCAGCACCGAAACCCTAAACCCTCAAGCCCTGGATCCTTCAAGCTTGAGGGTTTTGGGTTACCCTAAACCCTAAACCCTAAACCCTAAACCCTAAAACCTAAACCCTAAATTTTCATACTCCCTACGCCAAATCATCCCCATCCTGCAGAGCCTCTTCACGGCTTCAGGGTTTTTGTTGCAAGAAGAGAACCCCCACCCCCCCCCACCCCCCCTCAGCCCGGAAACCTCTTGACCCCTCAACCCTCTTGGCCTCTTGGCAGCCACTTTTTTTGGTCCATGACTTATGGTGGTAAGATCTCCAGACCTGCATCGGAGCCCCCAAACCTCAGCAAGGTTCCCTTGTCAACCCTAAGGCCCAAATCCTGATTTAGATTTAGGGTTTAGGGTTTAGGGTTTAGGGAATCTGCCTCGCACCATGATGTATGGTGGGTTGTGGGCTCAAGAACATGTTCCTAGAGAAGCGGCGTGCAGAACCGGATGGATAAGCCCACTGGTGCTTGAGGGGGAGAGGGGGGGGAGAGTGGAGAACGGTTCCATTTATAAGGGGGACACACCCAAAAAAATCGGGATTCCCCCCCTGAAGCACAAGCAAGCCGTTTTGTCCATCCCACTTAGTACACCAAAAATCGGGATTCCCCCTGAAGCACTAGTAAGCTTAGTAGCACTTACACGTTAAAAACTTATAAGGGTGACACACCAGGAAAAATCGGAGTTTCCCCCCCCCTGAAGCACCAGTAAGCTGTTTTTTTTCCATCCGGGCACGGATGGACGACTTTGATGATTTCGACCTTCGCGACTATGCCCCGCATTGCATCGAGTCTGCCAACCTTGGCATCCTGTCCGCGCAGCGGTAGCCCTTCTTTTTTTGTTGAGGGTTGAGGGTTTCCAGGGTTTCGGGGTTCCAGGGTTTAGGGGTTTCTAGGGTTTAGGGGTTCTAGGGTTTAGGGGTTCTAGGGTTGAGGGGTTCTAGGGTTTAGGGTTCTAGGGTTTAGGGGTTCTAGGGTTTAGGGTTCTAGGGTTTAGGGGTTCTAGGGTTGAGGGGTTCTAGGGTTCAGGGTTCTGGGGTTTCCCTTCTATAAGAAAGCAACCACTGCCCTCTCAAAAGGGGGGCGGGGGCCCCTAAACCCTAAACCCTAAACCCTAAACCCTAAACCCTAAACCCTAAACCCTAAACCCTAAACCCTAAACCCTAAACCCTAAACCCTAAACCCTAAACCCAAAAAAAAAACAAACCTGGATTCTGATATTTGGCTACTGCTGGCTACCAAGGCATGCACTACAGGAATTCCGGCCCTGGGAGTCCTACGAGCCGCCCAGCCGGGGGTTTAGGGTTTAGGGTTTAGGGTTTAGGGGTTAGGGGTTTAGGGTTTAGGGTTTAGGGTTTAGGGTTTAGGGTTTAGGGTTTAGGGTTGAGGGTTCATGTTATTCTGCCAGGGAAGAAGGGGATCGCAGGCCTTGATTCTTAAGGGGGTGACGGGTTTGGGGCTTCTGGTTTCGGTTTTCGGGTTAGAGCTCAGGGTCTCCAGACTCCCGGGCTGTAGGATTAGGGTTTATGGTTTAGGGTTTAGGGTTCGGGGTTTAGGGTTTGGGGTTTAGGGTCTAGGGTTTAGGGTTTAGGGGCCCCGTATCAGCCACAGACTGATTTTCACAGGGCCCGCCCCCTTCCTGCCTGACATTTACCACCGACAGCCCGCAAAACCCTGAACAAAGAATCCGACTCTACACCCCAAACCCTAAACCCCAAACCCTCACCCTAAACCCGAAACCCGAAACCCTAAACCCTACTATGAAGCTCCGACTCAGGCTACACCAGGTCTGAAGACAATTTGCCAGTGACGAAGATGGTGCCTTGCTCTCGTGGTTTTGTGGGCAGGTTGATCAAAATCATGGGCCCAGGGTGTAGGGTTTAGGGTTCAGGGTTTAGGGTTAGGGTTTAGGGTTTAGGGTTTGGGGTTTCGGGTTTAGGGTTTAGGGTTGCCCTTACCTCACAAACCCTCAACCCTAAATCCTAAACCCTTTAAACCACCACAGGGTACCCTTTGTGTTCCGGGGGTTCTTTTATGGGGTCTACTGCAGCTCAAGCCTTCGGGTCGCGCACGATTGTGCCCCAAACCCTAAACCCTAAACCCTAAACCCTAAACCCTAAACCCTAAACCCTAAACCCTAAACCCTGTGGACATTTTCAGATTCAAAGAATCCGGGGCTGCAGTACCGGAAACCAAGCCCCGAGTTTCAACCCCGAACCCTAAGCCCTGAAACCTCTGTGTTTCCGCCTTCTCCGCTTGCGCCTAATCCCCAAACCCTAAACCCTAAACCCTAAACCCTAAACCCTAAACCCTAAACCCTAAACCCCCTATTAAGGGACTGTTTCCCTAAACCCCTGGGAGTGGCAAGAGGTGCAATCTTCTGCTAGTGGCAACCACAGCAAGTCCCAGGCGCGATTGGAGTTCTGATTCGAGTTGAACTTGGGGCTTCGATGAAGGTTTTGGGGCTTTCATGTAGGGTTTAGGGTTTAGGGTTTAAAGGGTTTAGGGTGCAGGGTGCAGGGTGCAGGGTGCAGGGTTTTTGGGGTGAGGCTTAGAGGTTTAGATTAAGTGGGTGTTCTTGTGGTAAGGCTTGGGGTAAAGTTACTGATTGCGTCTTCCTGGCTCGCCACTGAAAAAGCTTTGTGATGTTTCTGATCTTTCACGACCGTAAGTTACCTTAAACCCTAAACCCTAAACCCTAAACCCTACAGCCATTTCGGTTCCTCGCGGGGTTTGGGGCTTAGGGCTTCGGGCTTAGGGCTGAGGGTTTACGGATTCGGGTTTAGGGTTCAGTGCAATGTGCTGCTTCAGGCATGTCTCACATCTCCGGCCCTCCACAACCCCACTTCCTAAATGTCAAACCCTATAAACCCTAAACCCTGAACCCTAGACCCTGAACCCTAAACCCTGAACCCTAAACCCTGAACTCTAAACCCTGAACCCTAAACCCTAAACCCTGAACCTTGAACCCAAAACCCTAATGTGGCAGACTGGGAGACAGTTCCTGTAGCATGAGGCAGGGGCCTGAAGCGTGAAGAGTTGCGGACTCTCAGCCCCCTTTAAACCCTAAACCCTGAACGCTACTAACCCTGACCACAAACCCCCAAACCCCAAACCCTAAACCCTAAACCCAAACTCCAAACCCCAAACCCTAAATCCTATCCCCTAAACCCTATTCCACCCACCAGCCCGAAACCCCAGTGGCTTGATTCTCCCGAGCTCTCGAAGCCCCAAACCCTCAACCAGACACAAGGTGTCCCCTCAACAAAATGCTTGCCATCTTGCCAGCCCTAAACCCTAAACACTAGACCCTAAACCCGAAACCCTAAACCCTGTTTATCAGGCTTCATCAGGGACTATTTACCTACAATTTGGTGGTAACCACCCTTAGCTAGCAAGTATAACCCATAAAACTGGAAAAAAAAGAGTGTCCCAGTTGGGGCTTCGGGGTTCTTGGTTTGGTGACCCAGAAAGCTTCTGCCAGGAAAACCCTAAACCCTAAACCCTAAACCCTAAACCAGGAAGCTGGCTGCCAATCCTGGGCATCATGGCTAGTTTGAGTCTGGAGGTTCTGGTTGCAGGGTTTCGGATGTGGGGTTTACGAGGCTTAGGCTCTAGGACACAAGGTTTCAGGGTTTTTTGGTTAAGGGTTTAGGGTTTAGGGTTTAGGGTTTAGGGTTTAGGGTTTAGGGTTTAGGGTTTAGGGTTTAGGGTTTAGGGTTCCCAGTTGAGTGCGAGGTAGGAGCCTGCTTACATCCATAGTGCATATTTCGGAGTATGGGATTATCTTGATTACGTTATGTTAAGGCCCCCAGTATTTCCCGTCCGTCAGGTTGGGTCTCCCCCAAAGAGCCCAGGCCAATCCTGATACCCAGGTGCCCCTGTGGATGCGTTGGCCCAGATTTTGGACGGTGCTGCTCATCATTTCGGCAATCGCGCCTCGCTCGCACATGGCTTCAATGTGTGAGTTAATGTTGACCTCGAATTAATAACCCCCCCCCCCCCCCGCCCCACCCCCAGCCCCCCGTCTCAATTGATTTTTGTTTCCGTCCCCCCGCCTATTGAGGAGCCCTGACCTACCCAAAAGGGCTCATAGAAAAAAACATCGGTCCCCTGGCCAGGATTTCTCATCATTGAGGGGGGGGTTTATATTACGGCGGGGGGGCGGGGGGGGGGGGGGGTGTATAAATATGAGGTTATCTTTAGGGCTAAGCTCTAAGCCTTAAATCCTCAACTTAAGCGATGTCTTTTTAGGGGTTTAAGGCGCGAGGGTCTTAAGGGCTTTGGTGTTCTTCCTATACCTTTTTAGGTAAGGGAGTTCTTCTTGTGGAAGGGCCATGTGATCAGTCCTTCTGCAAGGTCCCTGTCATGAGCTGGTCTCTTTACTGTTTAGATAAGTGGCCGTATAGGCCCGTTCTTACTTAAAGTAGGCGGATACTTCAGGGCTTGGGCGGTACAGCTCCCGGATTTTGGGTTCAGGGTGTGGGGTTCTGAGAGTTTGCCGGTGTAGGTGGGCGTCAGCGTGTACAACGTGAGCGCGTCCGATGCGTCGGCCGCGTGGACGCAGACGCCTTCTTCGGCCTGATGAGGGAGGTTGCTTTGGAACTATCTTTAAAGTACTACAGGCTCTAGCTTCTACAAAGCCCGATATGTCCCCGAAATGCACGACAGAGTAAGGGATAGTCTCCGGGGTGCAAGATCCTGGCTTCATGCGGTGATTATTTGGCCCTGATTAGGCTTTGCGGTTTTACTCTGGGCCCTTTGCGGGGTGCCCAAAATGCAAAGGTGTAGGGCTTAGGGTTCAGGGTTGCGCTGGCCACTGGGCAAAGACGTGCAGGGAATACCTGGGCCTGGACTCTATCTAGCCGCACTTCCGTAGTAACTGCCCTTAATTAGTAGCGATTACCTATAAAACTGTAGGTAAAGAGGGTCCCAGGTAGAGCCAGGCTCTAAGTGACATGGTGCCACTTTGAGCATTGTGCTTGCGGTGGGTGGGATGGTGGTTGCAACCCTAAGCCCCAAACCCGAAATGCCTCTAACTTCTTCTTAGTAGCTGAATGAGTACGCTTTACACTTCTTGGGATACTATAATCCCCTGCAGAACTGAAAGTGTACACTTATGTGGGGGCTTACGAACTCAGGTGAAGGTTCACACTCGCGAGTCCTTGCTCGACCTCACCAAGACTTACGCAGGTCGGCCCGCCAGCAGATCACAAAATTCACCTTGCTAGCCCAGTGGTACCCTTTTCCTCTTTTTTTTTGATTTAAGGTTCCTTACCAATTTAACCAACCAAAAATAGAATGGCTACTGGGGTACCAAGAAGCAGATCCAGACCTCGCAGTAAAATTGCTTAGGGGCCCACTTTTTCCCTAGAATCCAAGTATACAACTCATACCAACTTTGGGGTCTACCTGGGACCCTCTTTACCTACAGTTTTATGGGTTATACGGTTATACCTACTAATTCAGGGTAGCTACGACTAAATTGTAGGCAAATTAGAGTCCCAGGTAAAGTCTATGAATATTGCATACCTTGGGCGTTTTGGAGCCTCAGGGTCTCGGAACTCCCTCAAAAAGAAGAAGTTGGCTTTGAATCTAAGGGTAGTTCCATGGGCCCTTAGTACGGTCCCTTACCTCCTTTGAAGGGTTCTGGAATGTGGGCCCTTGGATTACAGGGGGTTTGTAAGGGGTCCCCTACGAAGGGACCATGTACGTACGCCAAGATAGAAATCACCGAAAAGCGAGCCTCAAGTTCCATTCTGCTTGGGGGAAAAGCCTGGAGCCGAACACTGTCTTTCGGGTTTAGGGTTTAGGGTTTAGGGTTTAGGGGGGTTTAGGGTTTCGAGCGTTTAGGGCTTGTAGTATTGAAGAGGCTAAAAGCGAGGAAGAAAAAGAAAGCTGCGCAGGAGAAGCCGCTGCATGAACGTATCCACTGCGCTGCAAACCCCTTGGGCTTACGTTGGCAACCAAATGAACCCTAAAATTGGGCCCATATACCCTGTACTACTATAATCCCTATTAAGGTACATGAACCACAAACCCTTTTAAGGTATTTGGGCCTTAAGGTTAACCTTCTATCCAATGGCAATGCCCTAACCCTAAGCCCTCTTCTGCCAGAATCATCTGATTCTCTTGTCAGCAGACCTTGGCCCTAAAGAGGATCTTCGAGAGGAACATACCCGAAACCCTAAACCCTAAACCCTAAACCCTAAACATGTTTCAGAGGGTTGGAGCCAAGAGCCAGACCTGGCTGCAGGAGCCCTCACTCCAAAACCCAGGAGCCCTATAAACCCTCAACGCCCTAGAACCCGTAAACACCCTTAAGCCCCCCCCCTAAAACACCCCTAGGCACCCACCCCCCCCCACCCCACCCAAACACCTTAGGGTTTAGGGTTTAGGGTTTAGGGTTTAGGGTTTAGGGTTTAGGGTTTAGGGTTTAGGGTTTAGGGTTTAGGGTAGGGTTTAGGGACCCCAGGCAGCCTGGGACCCAGGAGGCCCCCCCACCCCCCTAGCGTTTTTGAGGTGAGATGGCGCGCCAGGTACGTACCTCTGCCAGCTCAGTACAGGCAATGTGGGCTCTGTCAGGATGGGCTCTGGGTTCAGGGTTCAGGCTTTAGGGTTTAGGGTTGAGGGTTTAGGGTTTAGGGCAAGTTTAGGGTTTAGGGTTTAAGGTTTAGGGTTGAGGGTTGAGGGTTTAGGGTTTGTAGGTAGCATGTATGGAGAGGTGCCTCCGGACAGCGCGCAGGGAGGGGTACCTCCAGAGAGTAGAGTGTCAAGGTGCCTACTGTTGCAGCCTCTGATGAGTCCTGTGTACACGAGACGGTGAAGAATCCTTCAGGACCCATCTCTGTCCCCAAAGGGTCCACATGCCTAAAGGGTTTCCTACATAGCACGTAGGGCGTTTCAAGGTGCACGCGTTTCTTTTTTGTGTGACAGCCAGAACGACCCTATGGCGCCAACACAAGCGTTTCCCGCTCCGGAGTGATCCTTGTCTTGCCAGGCTCTAGAAGCCATCATACGGATAGATGAGCCTTGGCTTATTCAAGCCTGCCTTCCTTCGGGGTTAAGGATCTAGGGCTTAGTGACTTAGGGTGCTGCACAATGCTAGTCGGGCAGTACAGCTGATAGTGTTTGGGAGGGGTTTTTGTTTCGGTAGGGAGGCCATCGATGGCTTCCTGTTAGATCTTGTGTGGGGCTCTTAGCTCCAAGGGCAGCTACATGGTCCCTTGGCTTGGTTCCCCATAAAGCATTCTGATGCATGGGCCCTTCATTTGTATAGGGTCTATACGGGAGTTGTTCTTAAGATTACTGAACCGTGAGTGGCCGAGTCCGAGTGATGCTTGCTCAGGAAATGGGCATCTCCGCACAAAACTTTGACAGCTTGGCAGCGCCATGGCAGAGAGAGATAAACCCTAACAGCTAAACCCCTAAACACCTAAACCCCTAACCCCTAAACCCCTAAACACCTAAACCCCCAAACCCGGAACCCTAAGCCTAAATTGGCGCCGCACACAAAGACATGGACTCGTCTTGCGCGACCTGCATCTTACTACTGAAGTGGTACTCTGGTCAGATGTAGAACGTGTATCTCATTTTATATGTATGTGTATACACTTAAGATGTGTGTATACACTTGTTTGTTACAGAACTTGTTCATGTCTGGGTTGGGTCTCACTCCGAGTCCGTCCTGCTTGAGATACATACCCCTGGCCACACACTGCCCAAACAGCTAAACTCCGACCTCCGTTCTTTGGCCCCTACTCGTGGACGCTCATCCCTTAGCACCCAGGACACAACTCCGTTGGAACCCAAGAGCCCTAAGAGCCCTTAAACCTCAGGGAAAGAGGTTAAAACCCGCAACCTTGTTGTCCTTTAAACCCAACCTGGGGCCCTGTTTACCAACAGTTTTATGGGTTATACCTACTATTTGAGGGCAGTTCCTACGAAATTGTAGGTAAATTAGGGTCCCAGGAAAGCAGCTTCTTATGCGCTCAGGACACCCTCATCCACACCTACCAGGGCATTTCGAACCTGCAGCTCGCTCCGTCTGGACAGATCGAGCGCATCTATCCCCTGAAGGATGACTCGCAGGAGCACCTCATGGACACACAGCTCGTAGCAAACCCAAGCCCAAACCCTAAAATCCCACGCCCGAAACCGGAGCCCGTATAGACCCCAAAACCCCAAGACACCCCACCCTAAACTACCCGATAGACATGGGCGACACTAGACAGGGTTTGTTTGGGGGGGGGGGGGGTTTTGAGTTCAGGATAAAACGGATATGGTCGGCACATAGGAGGAATACTACCTCTGCACATGGTAGGAATATTGTAGGAATATGCGGATCTCCTTGGTGGCCCCTACCAACCCCTAGGGCCCTAGACACCTAGAAGCAATCTTGCAGGAACGGGCAGAGATGCCTTTCTCGACATGGGTTTAGGGTTTAGGGTTTAGGGTTTAGGGTTTAGGGTTTAGGGTTTAGGGTTTAGGGTTTAGGGTTCCCCGAACCCTAAACCCGAAACTCTGGAAGCCCCAAAACCCTCACGCCTTCCCCTAAGGGTCCATGCACCTCATGATTGTCTACTTGCACCCCAAAGTCCCTAGATAGGAAGTGCTTTAGGTATTAAGGCCCAAGTATTCCCTACATTTAGGCCCTAAACCCTAAACCCTAAACCCTAAACCCTAAACCCTAAACCCTAGCTCTTAGGGTTCATGGGGTTCCAGCAGGACAACACGCCTGCCTTGGGATTGAACCTTCTCCTGCACCCCAACCACAAGGTGGCTGCGCCAGCTCGAAGCTTCAGGGCGTTTTAGGGCTGCGGGGTTTAGGGTTTAGGGTTTAGGGTTTAGGGTTTAGGGTTTAGGCTTCAGGATTATCAGATGTTGGCAGTTGAGAGGTAGAAATGCCAGGTCTCTGCACCTGACACAGCACCCTTTCTTTCAATCTAAGTAGGGATGGACGTGCCTTCTTCTTCTCATGGCTTGAAAGGCACAAGCTCTCCCGAACCCAAGACGCGCAGTTCTTCATAATCCTCCAAACGGAGCCGAGCACCATACAACTCCAAGCCCTCAACCCTGCAACCCCAAATCCGAATCCTCAAACCCTCAACCCCTTAAACCCTCAACTCCTAACCCTGAACTTGTGATGTCCCCCCCTATACTATACTAACAGTCCTTAATCGGGAATCTAATCGGGGGTACTATACTCCCTATTAATTAATGACTGTTAGTATAAGGGGAACATCCCAACCTGGACCGCTCAACCAAAGACCTAAGCACTCCCAGACTCGTTCTCCATTGCCCGTCTGCCTTGCGCCGAAAGGGGCCCCAACTGCCTGCCCTAAGCTCTGAAACGCCAGAGCCCTAAACCCTAAACCCCCTTAACCCTGGATGTAGGGTCTGGTCGGTTTAGGGCCTTTAGGGACCTGTGTTGCTCCGCGAGCTCCACGCGAGACGTTGGGAAGTTTGACGTGGGTATATGTATATGTATATGTACGTAGGACCTTTAGGGTCTATTTGGCACGCCTCTTTTGCCGCCGGGGAAATCCCTAGATTTGATTTTCAAGGATTTCATGAAATTTAAAATGCCCAAAAAATCCTTGAAATCCTTAAAAAAATCAAATCCCGGGATTTGATTTTTTAAGGATTTCAAGGATTTTTTGGGCATTTTAAATTTTATGAAATCCTTGAAAAATCAAATCCCGGGATTTAATTTTTCAAGGATTTCAAGGATTTCATAAAATTTAAATACCGGAACTCCTGCAAAAGCAAACCCCCCTCCCCACTCAGAGTACGGGAAGACCACGCGGATTTTAAAATTTATGAAATCCTTGAAATCCTTGAAAAATTAAATCCCGGGATTTGATTTTTCAAGGATTTCATGAAATTTAAAATGCCCAAAAAACCCTTGAAATCCTTAAAAAAATCAAATCCCGGGATTTAATATTTTAAGGATTTCAAGGATTTTTTGGGCATTTTAAATTTTTATGAAATCCTTGAAAAATTAAATCCCGGGATTTGATTTTTCAAGGATTTCAAGGATTTCATAAATTTTAAAATCCGCGTGGTCTTCCCGTACTCTGAGTGGGGAGGGGGGGTTTGCTTTTGCAGGAGTTCCGGTATTTAAATTTTATGAAATCCTTGAAATCCTTGAAAAATTAAATCCCGGGATTTAATTTTTCAAGGATTTCATGAAATTTAAAATGCCCAAAAAATCCTTGAAATCCTTAAAAAATCAAATCCCCGGATTTAATATTTTAAGGATTTCAAGGGTTTTTTTGGCATTTTAAATTTTATGAAATCCTTGCAAAATCAAATCCCGGGATTTAATTTTTCAAGGATTTCAAGGATTTCATAAATTTTAAAATCCGCGTGGTCTTCCCGTACTCTGAGTGGGGAGGGGGGGGTTTGCTTTTGCAGGAGTTCCGGTATTTAAATTTTATGAAATCCTTGAAATCCTTGAAAAATTAAATCCCGGGATTTAATTTTTCAAGGATTTCATGAAATTTAAAATGCCCAAAAAATCCTTGAAATCCTTAAAAAATAAATCCCGGGATTTAATATTTTAAGGATTTCAAGGGTTTTTTTGGCATTTTAAATTTTATGAAATCCTTGAAAAATCAAATCCCGGGATTTGATTTTTCAAGGATTTCAAGGATTTCATAAATTTTAAAATCCGCGTGGTCTTCCCGTACTCTGAGTGGGGAGGGGGGGGGTTTGCTTTTGCAGGAGTTCCGGTATTTAAATTTTATGAAATCCTTGAAATCCTTGAAAAATCAAATCCCGGGATTTAATTTTTCAAGGATTTCATAGAATTTAAAATGCCCAAAAAATCCTTGAAATCCTTAAAAAATCAAATCCCGGGATTTAATTTTTTTAAGGATTTCAAGGATTTTTTGGGCATTTTAAATTTTATGAAATCCTTGAAAAGTTAAATCCCGGGATTTGATTTTTCAAGGATTTCAAGGATTTCATAAATTTTAAAATCCGCGTGGTCTTCCCGTACTCTGAGTGGGGAGGGGGGGGGTTTGCTTTTGCAGGAGTTCCGGTATTTAAATTTTATGAAATCCTTGAAATCCTTGAAAAATTAAATCCCGGGATTTAATTTTTCAAGGATTTCATGAAATTCAAAATGCCCAAAAAATCCTTGAAATCCTTAAAAAATCAAATCCCGGGATTTAATATTTTAAGGATTTCAAGGGTTTTTTTGGCATTTTAAATTTTATGAAATCCTTGAAAAATCAAATCCCGGGATTTGATTTTTCAAGGATTTCAAGGATTTCATAAATTTTAAAATCCGCGTGGTCTTCCCGTACTCTGAGTGGGGAGGGGGGGGTTTGCTTTTGCAGGAGTTCCGGTATTTAAATTTTATGAAATCCTTGAAATCCTTGAAAAATTAAATCCCGGGATTTAATTTTTCAAGGATTTCATGAAATTGAAAATGCCCAAAAAATCCTTGAAATCCTTAAAATATTAAATCCCGGGATTTGATTTTTTTAAGGATTTCAAGGATTTTTTGGGCATTTTAAATTTCATGAAATCCTTGAAAAATCAAATCCCGGGATTTGATTTTTCAAGGATTTCAAGGATTTCATAAATTTGAAAATCCGCGTGGTCTTCCCGTACTCTGAGAGGGGAGGGGGGGGGTTTGCTTTTGCAGGAGTTCCGGTATTTAAATTTTATGAAGTCCTTGAAATCCTTGAAAAATCAAATCCCGGGATTTAATTTTTCAAGGATTTCATAAAATTTAAAATGCCCCAAAAATCCTTGAAATCCTTAAAAAATCAAATCCCGGGATTTAATATTTTAAGGATTTCAAGGCTTTTTTGGGCATTTTAAATTTTATGAAATCCTTGAAGAATTAAATCCCGGGATTTGATTTTTCAAGGATTTCAAGGATTTCATAAATTTTAAAATCCGCGTGGTCTTCCCGTACTCTGAGTGGGGAGGGGGGCGTTTGCTTTTGCAGGAGCTCCGGTATTTAAAGTTTATGAAATCCTTGAAATCCTTGAAAAACTAAATCCCGGGATTTAATTTTTCAAGGATTTCATGAAATTTAAAATGCCCAAAAAATCATTGAAATCCTTAAAGAACTAAATCCCGGGGTTCGGTTTAGGGTTTAGGGTTTAGGGTTTAGGGTTTAGGGTTTAGGGTTTAGGGTTTAGGGTTTAGGGTTTAGGGTTTAGGGTTTAGGGTTTAGGGTTTAGGGTTTATCCTTGAAACCCTTAACAAAAATCAAATACCGGATTTGATGGTGTAAGGAGTTCATAAAAAGTTAAGATGCCGAAAAAGAATTAAAACCCTTTAAAATCAAACCCCGGGATTTGTCTTTTCCAGGATTTCAGACATACCCGCTCATTGCCCATCCCACATCACCCCGCATCATCTCCCATCGTTTCTCTCATCCCCCATCATGCCCCATCATCCCCCAATCATCCCCCATCATCTCCCATCATCATTCCCCGTCATCTCTCATAATCCCTTTCACCCCCCCATCATCCACCATCATCCCCCATCAGGCCCCCATCATCGTCCCCGATCAGCCCCTATCATGCCCCATCATGTCTCTCATCCCGCGTCATCCCCCATCATTCCCCATCATCCCCCATCATCTCCCATCATCCCGCATCATCCCCCATCATCCCCCATCGTCATTCCCCATCATCTCCCATAATCCCTTTCACCCCCCATCTTGAGGGGTTAGTGACTGCCCTAGAGGTTAGTCGTATGTCCCCCCGCTTCGTGTTGTTGTGATTTGGTAGGGGCCCAGAGGTTTGTATGAGTTGTTTTCTTCGTTCGTGTTGTAAGGGTTTTGTGAGGGCCCCGGAGGTTTGTCGCATGTCCGATTTCTTCGTGCTTGTAGGGTTTGGGGATTGTCTAGATAATTGTCAAAAATCATTCCTTCCGCGCTCGTACTATGAGGGGCTAGTGGCTGCCCTAGAGGTTTGTTGTATATTCCCCCGCTTCGTGTTCCTGAGATTTGGTAGGGGCCAGAGGCTTGTCATATGTCCCCTCCCTTCGTCCCTTCGTGTTGTGAGGGTTGCATTCGGCCTTGGAGGTTTGTCGTATGTCCCCTTTCTTGGCGTCTAGATGATTGTCATCATAAGTCATTTGCTTCCGTGGTCGTATTATGAGGGCTATTGACCGCCCTAGAGGTTTGTCGTATGCCCCCCTGCTTCGTGTTCCTGTGAGTTGGGAGGGGCCTAGAGGTTTATCTTTTGTCCCCTCCCTTCGTCCCTTCGTATTGTAAGGGTTTCGTGAGCGCTCTGGAGGTTTTTCATATGTCCCCTTTGTTCG